TGTTCTCCTCATTGTGTCTGCCCATCATAGCTGCAGCATACATACCCATTGAAATGCATGCATTGTGCTACTGTTGGGTCTGGAACAAGGAAGTTGATGCCCCACCCTTAATGTCAGTACTTTGGGGCTTTTCTCTGTAGCTGCCAATCTTGTGATACAAACAAAAAAGAAACACTAGGATTTAGCATCTTCATCCTTTGAGGTGAACTTGCAGGGACACACTTCTTGATTGTAAAAACTGGAACCATTGGGAGATGTTTCAGTCCTCGACACTTCAAAAGGAAACATACCTTCCACCCTGAATTCTGCAGGTGTCAAAATTCATAAACCATTAATGCTACCTTCTGACCAGTTTCAACATGTTCCAAAGCCCACTGTCCCAGCTCATTTGACAACGTTTGCAAAAGTGGTAGATATGTGCCCTTGAATTCTCACCACTCCCAGGTCATCCTTTAACCTTTTCTCAACCCTTCATCCCTTTGTTGACAGCCAATGCCAGAACCTCCTCCTTGTTGGCTGTCAGTATGGCCAAGTTTTGGATCAGCATCTCCAGTCCTGTTCCTCATGTTCTAATGTTGTGCATTTTCTTCTCCTACAAATAACAAGAGAAATCATAATGATGATGCTGTGCTACAATTAGACATTTATACTTTCAGCCTTTGCTTTTTTTTTGTTGTTGGCACACATTTCTCAGTACTCTTTGCAAATTAACAGGTGTGGCAGTCCCTCTGAAATTCATAACTCCTGATGCCATTCAAAGTGGCACATCTGCATTATGCTGCCTTACATATTTGGACAAACACAAGAAAATACCAGAATTGACACATTAAACAGGCTCATTGTGTGTCCACCACAGTGTCAAAATCCTACAGCACCATCCCTAATGGCATTACGGGTCTACCTCAATCCATAAATGAGTTTTAGGAGTGCAAGAGGGTGGGTTGGCCACCACTTTCTCAAGGGCAGCTAGGGATGGCAATAAATGCTGGCTCAGCCAGAGATGCCCACGTCCCATGAATACATTAAAAAAAATCTCCACAGCAATTGCACACTTACCTTGCAGATCTCAAAATGTCATTGAGCCTTTTGTGTCTCTGCGACTGGGTTTGCAGAGTGACCCCAAAGACCTCTGTCAAGACTACTTTTGTTTGGCTGGGAGGTCATCTTTTTCCATCAATGGGCAACTGGCTATCACTGACAACCTGGACTCAGAGAGGGATCTCAAACCTTGGGGTCGTTCTTGGTCTGGGGGCGTCCCCATTTTTCTTGGCTCCATTCTCTTAACCATCTGTGGAGTGATAAAGAGAGTGAAAGGGCTGATTTTGAATATTTCCTGAAACATTTGCCATTCGTTAGCTGTATTCAAATGTCCTTTCCTCTCGGCAAAGTTGCTGAATGCTTCCAAACTGGCGGAATGGTCACCCAAATTTAAAACCAAGCTCTTACCTACGACAATAAAACTTGTGCCTCCAAATAATGCTTTCTATTGCATCTGTCAGAGCCTCATGTTGTTAAATGAGTGGCTGTGAGCCCCTTCCAGTTTGTGGCCTGCCGTCCTTGTCCCTGAACATTCCACTGACTTGTTGCGAATTGGACACACTGTCCACACTTTCTTTAGGAAGTTGGTAGGTGTTGTGCCAGGCAGCCCTTATCTGGCTGTATTGTGCATTAACAAATGACTTTCAAAGATGGAATTGGGAATTGGTGATCTATGCACCTCCGGGTTGGACTCCCATTCCTGTCCAAGTACATAAAATTCAAACCTTTGGATCAATTGATTATTGAACCTGGTATGGATTTAAAGTGCAAGAGCACTCTGTGAATCACTAGCCCTCATTTAGAGTCATAGAGTCATAGAGATGTACAGCATAGAAACAGACCCTTCAGTCCAAGTCATCCATGCCGACCAGATATCCTAAATAAGTCTAGTCCCATTTGCCAGCATTTGGCCCATATCCGTCTGAACCTTTCCTATTAATATACCCATCCAGATGCCTTTTAAATGTTGTAATTGTACCAGCCTCCACCACTTCCACTGGCAGCTCGTTCCATACATGCCCCACACTCTGCGTGAAAAAGTTGCCCTTTAGGTCACTTTTAAATCTTGCCCCTCTCACCTTAAACCTATGCCCTCTAGTTTTGGACTCCCCCAACCTGGGGAAAAGACCTTGGATATTCACCCTATTCAAGCCCCTCGTGATTTTATAAACCTTTATAATGTCACCTCTCAGCCTCCGATGCTCCAGGGAAAATAACCCCAGTCTATTTAGCCTCTCCCTATAGCTAGAGCCTTCCAACTCTGGAAACATCCTTGTTAACCTTTCCTGAATCTTTTCAAGTTTCACAACATCCTTCCTATAGCAGGGAGAACAGAATTGCATGCAGTATTCTAAAAGTGGCCTAACCAATGTCCTGTACAGCCACAACTTGACCTCCCAACTCCTATACTCAATGCACTGACTAATAAAGGCAAGCATACTAAATGCCTTCTTCTGTCGAAGGAAGCATTTCTCACGACATTCGCCACTGCTGCCCTTACAGCCCAATTTTAAGCCCAAGCCAATAACCAGTAGCATCTCCAGCCTGAGAAATAGAATAAAGGTATATTTTTGTTGAAAAAAACTCAGAGGCCATCATAGAATCTTTTGCTTGTCAAGAAGAACGAAGTAGTACAAAGAACATTAGACTAAGAGGAATAGTCAAAACCATGATGGAAGAGCCAGTTTTTAAGGTATGTCTTAATGAAATTCCAGAAGGAAATATCAGTAAAACAGATGAATGAGACACAGTAGTCCAACTCCACTATGACTAGCATGTTAATTTCAAAGTATTGCTGCTTTTTCAATGATGCCAGGACAGATGTGGAAGATGATCCAATGGACAGCCTTTTTCATTTTAGGTTTGACTTGGATATCAAGTCAAATAGGAATCTCAAACCCTCACTAATGATGAGAACAGTTACCTAGCAGTACTGTTGCCTGACTGACCAATATTGACCAGAAGGCAAGCTTGCCATCTAATTAATGATTGGTAGTCCACTCTAGAAACTGGAGCATCAGTAGGAGTCCCTCCAACATGGAGACTGTTGCTGACTCACTGATGTAGGTAATGGTGTGTCTCCATTGTGAGGCCTCTACTCAGGAACTTCAAAAAACAGGAAATTAACACGTGGCCCACAACTATTGGGACCACATTTGTGAAGAGGAATCCCTGAAATATTTCTATCTGCATTTTTGATCCCATATCAGTGCAAACATTTCTATAAATAAAGACAATGTATAGACCAGGAAAAGGAGGGGAGTTCAGAATGGATCCTTTGTGGCTTCTTGAGGTAACAATGCAATACTAGGTAAAAAAAAATCATATAGTTTGCAATCCGTCTTCATCGCTAACCCAAAGTAACAGGTAATTTACAATAGGACAGTCATTTGTTTACATCAAACAGTTGCTTTTTGCTACCTTACATAAATGTGAGCGATGTATACCCCATCCAGACATTACAATTATGCATTATAAAAAGAAAGCTAACATTGCATTCTAAATTTAATGATAAAATAATAAATTGTAGGCTAATAAATAATTAACGTCAATATTTTCAATGTATTCAGCATGTGTTCAGAAAGAAGCTGAACCATTGAGTGAGACTGCAACAAAAGGTCTAAGCCTTGACTATGGGAGACAGAAATATGCAACAATATAGACATATAGCACAGAGGGCCACTGTTCATTACATTAAGCCTAATTTTAATTGTCAGGCAAAAAAAAAAGGCAATGTGGCTGATTGATGCACTGTGAGTGGCAGCAGATGATTTGGATGGTCAATCTTATTAGCATGCAGTTTTGCTGAAGAAGATCGGTAACTACCGCCCTCTGACTGAATTTGGGTTTTGGAAGACCGACATTGAGGACCTGGTGCTATAGTGCCCAGTACATAGTAGGTGTTCTGGGCATAAGTCCTTGTTGGGGAACAGGGAGGAAGTCTGGACAGATTTGCCCCAGGAGTTCCTTTTGGAACCAGAAGTGTGTTCCTGCTTCTGTTAACCCATACAGTAAACTAAAAAAAAAGATTTGTTATTGACTCTGCTGGCCCTGGAAGTGATTGCCAACAGATTTTGCCAGACACCGCAGTGGTCTCAGCTTGCACAGGCCTCAAGTTAAAATGATAGTTTGCAAAACATCATCAAAGCCTGATCTGTATGTTTAGGAATCAGGTGTCCTCATACACTGAAATTTCAAACTGCAGACAGCAAATTAGGGCCGATAATAAGTAATAAGTTTCTCACCCCCTTCTAATGATACCCCTTCTGCTGGCAAGTGTTAACTTTGAGACCATTGCATCTGCTGGTTATTCATTAGGCAGATAGGATTTAAAGTGCCTGGAATAAATGATAAGAAAAGTGTTCATTTCAGCCAGTAGTTGTGTCTTTCTCCCAGCCAAATCAGATTGCTGTTAGAATCTATAGAGCAAGTCCCCACGCTAGCTCATTCAATTTGTATAAACAATTAATTATAACAGCAAGGTAAGATAAATTCAAAACTAAACAAAGCAATGCTGCTTTACTTAAAACAGATGGATATTTACAGGGCTATAAATCATTTAAAATTCTTTAACCTGTAATGAAAGTTGAATGATATTTTTCAGTTAAAGTGTCAGATGCGTTGTTCAGGATAGTTTGTCCATATTTTCAATACAGATTGTTTTTTTTCTAATGTTTTATCACAAGTGCCATTGCTAAGGGAAAGGCGATGTTAAGTTTCTTTAAAACAAAATCAACTTGAAAAGCAATTTCATTTTCCAATGGAAGTGAATTTCAGGTGAGAATTAGATGCTCAGAAATCCACTGCTGAGGTGTGAAAGGCTTGAAGACTAGATAAGATGAAAGATGAATTTTTTTTGGTAGAACAAAAGCATTAATCGAAAATTTTCTTTGGAGAAAGAAGTCTATTGAATTCCATATTGCTGATGATTCATGATAGTAACCAGAGGCATGTTTTTGAATTCAATCCCAAAACCATTTCTCCAAACTAGAACATGATCGATACTCTTGATGGCGTTTTATATTCTCACACACGTTACATGCATGTTCATCCCAGAAATGAGCTATCCGCACTGTGTAATACTTTCTCCACTTGAAGTAGTTCATGTACAAGTCCTCATTATCATTCAGCTTATGCAGGTAGGCTGCAAGTTCTTGAGCCGATTTGAAATCATCCACATGAATAAAGGAATCAGCTGGAATGTAATTTTCATAATTTTTTCTCGATGGCCCCAAGACCACGGGCACAGTGCCTGCAAGCAGGGCGTTGTAGAGCTTTTCGGTTATGTAATCCTCATGTACTGAGTTCTCAAAGGAAAGGTAGAACTTACAACTAGATATTGTAGGGATCAATTTTTCATTGCTCAGGCGGTCCCCAAAGGCTTGCCCATAAGTGTTGATTTCAATATATTTATAGAGTTCATTGTAATACTTCACTCTGGCATGGTTAGAGTTCCAGTTGCTTACAACCCAACACACCAGATAGCTTTTACTGGGCAATTCAAAATCTAATGGGACTTTGCTCATTGTCAGAGACCCATAAGGCACCTGGATATCTGAATCCCGTCGATATGTCAAGGTCAGGTTGAAGAGTTGGTCGAGTCCAGTCCTTTTAGGAGCATGGCTAGGTGACTCCAGATTCATCCAAACCCATTTCTGAAAAGTTGGCCGAGGTTGTGTGGGCAAGTTGGACAAGTCCCCAGTTATGTCTCTGTGATGGAAAAGGACAGCGTGCGACTTGTTAAAGAGGCTCCTATTCACAGTCAAGTGACAGTCATGGATGTTAAACTCAGATTTACAAGAATCAAGCTCAAATGTCTGACCGAAAGGCCAAAGCCAAATGAGCACAATAGTTTTATTCTCTTCAGCATCCGTCACAAAAGTATTCTTCAAGCCTGGTGCTGATGTGGCAGATTCCAGTGGAGCATAAATCCAGGTGCTGGATGGTTTTACATATAGCAACGCAGCTAAAAAACAGCCCAAAATGATGATGGACAATAACAGGAAACGGAAAATCCCTTTATTGGATACTGATGTCATAATGTCTCCTGTAGGGTTAAAAATAAAGACTGTTAGTATCTGGGAGTGCAGCACTTCTTCCAATTAAACTGCATCAGGATTTGAACACAATTTCCCAGATGTGAAGAGGAATACTTACACTGGAAATATAAGAGATAAGGTAAAGAAAGTGGAAGTGGAACAACATTAAAGTAGGACCTAAACTTAGTGAAAATTAAATGAACCAATAGCACGAAGAAAGCAGTGCAAGACCATAACTGTGTAGGGACAACAAAGAATATGATAAATATTGCTAAAATTAGAATATACTAAAAAATGGAAGGAAAGAAAGGCTTGTATTTACATTACACCTTACCAAAGTTATAGGTCTGAACTTAATGAAGGGGACTTGCTAGCTGGCTAGGCAGTAGTCGGCTTTCCCAGGATCAAGCAGTATTGATCTGCTACCTCCCACCGCCACCTCCCCTGCCTGTCCCAAGATGTTTGACCAACCAGAAGCCAGAGGCTATGCATACTTGGCACTGACACTAGAGTCAGCAACTGCTGCCGGCAATTTACCCACTCGGGACCCAGGGTCACTGAGGGACCCAGTCCACTGGTGACTGATGACAGGTGGAGAATCACAGATAGAGGTTGTGAGGGAGCAAGGTCAGCAGAAAGGGCAGAAAGCTTGCTGTCGAAGGGCTCCCCACATGTTTTGCTGCTTCAGTCAGGCCTGAGTGCCTGACAATGATAGAGTCCTCTCTCCGCTCCAGAAGCCTGACAACAAATTGAAGAGGATCTGGTTCTCTGGCTTCTCATGGTCACTCCCCACCTACCGGGGGTGGTTCTTAATGGCAGCAGGATGAGGCTCCGAAAGGGACATTAATTTCTTACTTAAGGGCCTCAATTTGCAGTAAAACACAAGCAGGAATGCAGCAGGGTATGTTCTGCCAGACAATTTAATGGCCCCACCACAACAATTGCCTCAGCAAAGGTACCCTCTCGATCCCAGGACAAAGATAATAGATGTTTAGGGGTGTTTCTTCTTAGGTTGTCTAACGGTAAGAAGGAATAGCTGTTGTTGGAAGTCAAGGCATGATAGTGGGCACTGCCTCCTAACGTTCAGTTTCTCAATCAGGCATTGATCACGTCAGACCCACATCACTGAGGTGACACGCTGGCTGCACATTAACAGCGAGCAGGAATGCCAAATGGTAGCAGACCCATCTGTGGTCTACTTAATCCTAGTGGCGATTAGCCAAGGCCTTTCATTGGTGGGAGGGGGGTGGGGGGAGGTGAGGGGTTTGGGTACACTAGCTCCTGCCTAAGCTTCATTGATTGTTTCCTTTCCTGCCTCCAAATCTGCCACCTCCAGGAGCAGGAGCTTCTGACCATGACGTCAGTACATTTAAGTTCAGAAAGAGTTCATTAGGCCTATCTAGTTCAAGTTGACTCTCTGTGGAACTATCTGGGCAGGCTCATTCTTAGGTTTTATCCTTCATAGCCCTTTTAATTAAACAAACAAGTATCCGTCCAATTCCATCCAGAAATTATTCATTATTTCTGCATTTACCACTATATTGGCAGTGTGTTTATAGCTCTTTTTACCACCCATCAGTAAAATAAAATAGGATAGAAAATCCTTTATCATCACGTGTACTCCATTGTAAAAGTACAGTGAAAAGCATTTACAATGTCTGCTTCTGATGATGCCATCTTAGGTACAAGTACCTCTGTTCAAATCTTGTATAGAGAAGAGGAATAAAAAGTAGTTGCATTATTTTATAGAGTTTAAATAAATAAGTTAGAAATAAAACATCATTAAAGGATTGACATGTTCACATTTCTCCTGCTTCTCTTGCCCAAAGCCATAATATCTGTGTTCCCTCGTCCTTGTACCATCAGCTAAAAGGAACACTTTAACTATCTTATCTGAACCTCTCATCACCATCTGTGCCCAATTTGAGGAGGTTTTTGCTATGACCCTTTTATGTGCCTAAATGTGCAGCTCTTTGGCATGTGGGACAGGACATCCCATGATGTGGGACCAAGAGCACAGGATTTGCTTCCATTTCTTTTCTTCTCTGCCATCACTCTGCCTCACCATTAAGACTTTCAGACGAAAGCATGGTACAACTTAATGGACAGGTAAGCACCGGTGTGATTGATTGGTAGCAAGCCTCTCCCATTCTTTAATGTGAACATTGTCACATTTCAATGGGAGCTCCAGAGTGCTTTAGAACTATTTGTTTCTCGTCTTCCCCTAGAGTCTGAGAGTTGAGAAAACTGGACGTGGTGAGCAGGGACATTTTTACCCATCCAGACATGGTGTGTGGTCAGTCATAGTTGGTTTGCAGGAGTTTCATCTGCATACTGTAGAATTGGCTTCAAGAAGCACACCAGCATACATTCAATTGTCCTCCACAATCTGGAGAATATGGCCAAAGGACTGTTGGTGGAGGTTCTCTAGTGTTCCTTCTTTGTCTGTCTAACTGTTATTCTCTCTCTGGGCTGTATCCCCAACTGTATTTTACCCCCACACCTCTGCCTTCTGCATATAAACCAACATTTTCCTAGCTACCATCAGTTCTGAGGAAGGGTCACTCGACCTGAAATGTCAACTCTGATTTCTTTTCACAGATGCTGCCAGATCTGCTGAGCTTTTCCAGTAACTTCAAATTTTGGTTCTCCACTGCTCTTATGTGTTGCTGATAAACCAGAAATCACTGCAGTACAGAAGCAAGTGATGCAACTTTTCTGTACACTTTTATTGACTTGCTGAGGTCTTTATTATCAAATACTGTCTGGCTTAATTTGTATTTTATAAGATAATGGTTCTGAAATGCTTAATGTTGGAGACAGTATTAAGTTGTACCCAATCTGAAAATGCCAAAAGGATTCAGCTACAAAAAGGCAGAACATTTTGTCACGTGAAAACCTACATGGCATGTCTTTCAATGATCTTAGTAACAGCTGTGGTTGCTTGTTATCATGCTGTAAACTACATTTTGTTTAAGCAAAGATCCTCTTCTCATAAAGACTCCCTGGTGGTTTCCTTTCCTACCAGAAACCAAACAGTAACCACTCCAAACACAAGCTGGCAGTAAATGCAATTGCTGCTCATACAACATGGGAATAATTGTGGGCATTGTTGCTGAATACCACCAGGTCATAGTATTAAGAATTCTAGTGGAGGATTCTACATTTATCCAATTACACTGCACCTAATATGTTGACTCGCTCAACTTGTCCAAATCACTCTGCAACATCTCTGCATCCTCCCCACAGTTCATCTTCCCACCCAGCTTTGTGTCATCTGCAAATTTAGAGATATTACACTTAGTTCCCTCATCTAAATCATTCATATATATTGTGAATAGCTGAGGTCCAAGCACTGATTCCTGTCGTACCCCAATTATCACTACCATCGGTTAAATACCTGTTTATTCCTACTCTTTATTTCCTGTCTACCAGCCAGTTCTCTATTCCTGTCAATACACTACTCCCAATCCCATGAGCTTTAATTTTACACATTAGTGTCTATGCGAGACATAGCAAGCTATACGACAGCTTATCAAGACATAAAAGACATAACAGTTCAGCATCCAGGGAATTTCTGGAAAAGTCCATCAATGATCTTCACAAATTAGTGGAAAAAAGTGACTATAGAGCTTGGAGACTGGAATTATAAGAGCTGGAATTATTGTTGGAACTAATCATGGATCTTTGTCAGATCTATTACAGTTTGAAGAGATTTGACTTTGGAGAAAGCTACTCAGATTGTGCTGGAAGTAGAAAGCAGTAAGAATCACAAAGAAATCATGAGGAGATTGACAAAATTATGACAGGAGAGCAACAGAATTCATTCAGCTTATAATGTACACGAACTAATGTAAAGATACTTGTGAGAAGTCAGCACAAAAAGGAAACTAAGAGTGGAATCTTAATAGGCTTGAGTGACATGGACTATGGTGAGGTTTGTGGCAGAATCGCGCAACAAGTCCTGCAAGATATTATCTCGACATCAGGAACAACTTGCTGTATCTTTCATTTGTTTATCAAGTGGTGAAGCATGTTTCTCATTCAGCTGCAGTGAGATGCTAATTAAGTGGAGATATAGCTTGTTAAATGCCTTATTAATGTGCCAACTCACCTCATTAATATTCTGCCTTCTCTCTTACCAAACGAGATGTCACGAATTCTTGGTACGGAAGTCAGCACAGGTACCTGGCAACTTCAGCTCGCCACTGGTTGCGAGAGGCCTACATGTTTTTCACAGGCAACATCTCAGGGCACGATCCAATCACATCAGCTGCATACATACCTCAAACACAAACATTACAATTGTGCATTTGTCAATCCCTCACAAACATCATGGCATCTGTCTGATTCACTTCCAGAGCAATAAGGAGGCAAAGACTTGCACAGCAGAATGCACTGGCAACTGGAGTTGAAAGGATTATAGAAGTAGTGTTACAATTATACAAGGTGTCGGTGAGACCACACCTGGAGTATTATGTCTAGTTTTGGTCTCCTTACTTGAGGAAGGATGTGGTTACACTGTAGGCAGTTCAAAGGACGTTCACCAGGTTGATTCCAGGGATGAAAGGGCAGTCGTATGAGGAGCAGTTGAATAGCTTGGGCTTGTACTCACTGGAGTTCATAAGAACTGGGGGATGTGGGGGGTTGGGGGGTGTGGGGATCTGACTGAGGTATGTAAAATGCTAAAGGGGATTGACACAGTGGATGTTGAACACATGTTCCCCCTTATGCGACAGTTTCAAACAAGAGGTCATAGATATAGATTGAGAAGATGTAGGTTCAAAACTGAGATAAGCAGAAACTACTTCTCTCAAAGGGTTATAAATCTGTAGTACTCACTACCCCAGAGTGCAGTGGAGGCAGAATTCAAGAAAGAAATAAATATGTTTCTGATGAAAAGTGGGATAAAGGGCTATGGGGAGCAGGCAGAAGAGTGGATCAATGATAACCCCACCTCTCTCAGCATGCATTTGGCCAGCAGTTCCCTCTTTTTAAGTTATTGT